ATTACTAGTGTGGATAATTTGCAGATATGGCAAATTATAGCCTGAGTCTATAATCTGTGAAAAAGCTAGGGCTAAATGCAGATCTCGTAAGGGTAATCCATCAACAAGTGATAACAGTGAAACATTTCCTGCCAGTAAGGTGTGGTTTCAGAGGTTCATAATGTAACTAGGTATGGTGAAGCAGCCAGTGCTGATAAAAGGGCTATTGAAAATTACATACATCACTTCAAAATGATGCCACAGAGAATTGGCTTTTGCTCTCATCAAGTCTTTCACTGTGATGAAACTGACCTTTTCTGGAAAAAAAAAACCTAGAAAAATATATAATACCCAGGAAGAAGAGAAAATGCCAAGATAAGATTACAGTAGAGCAAGTCAAGGCCGGAAGACAGGAATGAAAGTGACTCTGATCTGTTCTGTGCCAGCTAGGTTATTCGAGTGATCTTAATAAGCCCAACCAAAAAAGGCGCCAAGCAATGGAAGGACTCACATTTGAACACAAATATGTATCCAGATAGTGTTCTTTACCACTCCTCATACAAAAATGAAATTTCAATTCCAAATTAGGGTTCAAAGAGCACAGAAAATTCAGTAGAACTGAAGCATGAAATGACCACATCACATGGGAAGTGGCTTAATTTGCAGCCGAAGTTCTTGGCAAGAGCCAACATATACCAAGATGATGGTAAAAATCATCACTACATAAAAGAGAATGAAAGGATGCTTCTGGCTTCTGGATTCTAACATTTTAGAAGCAACAGCTCTTCCTGAGAGGATTACCGATTGACAACTAAAACCCTGAGTGAGGAAAACTACGTATCTATGTAGATGTCTACACATCTACAGTGATTTTGTTAACACGACCCAAATAAAGTTAGGCTAAAAATGGGGGTGAAATCCTAAATAATCTGAACAGGATGATTTCACCTGCTGATGAAACAGCACCATGAGAAACTGGATCATAATTATTTGGAAATGTGATAATTTATGGAGGTTGAAGAGTGGATAAAGGAAAATGGATTAATTATTTCTAATCTATTTCCTATATTTCTTGGTATAAACTTTAAAAACAAAAAGAGGAGCAACACATATTTTTTTAGCTATGTAAAGTTCTCCATGATTTGATTAGTGCTTGTAGCAGAATTCCAGCATGAATGGAGTACCCTCCTTCTAGGGTACTCAATACATATAAATTCCAAAAGCATCTATTAAAAAACATTTTCAACACTTTAAAAATGAGATACAATAATGATAACCAACTTGAACTGGAAATGAATTGGCAGCACAGAGCTCAACAGCCTTACATAAATCTTCACACTTGTCAGCCTTGTCTTTTATTGGTAGGCTAATTGATACTTGAGTATATCATCTGAATCATACAAGCAAGATAAATATTTATAAGTGAAAGACTGTAATATTTGAGAAGTCCAGAAAAGGGTTCTCACACTTGGTTTTATTGTTCTTTAATCACTAAACTGCTATATGTACTTATGTAAAAAAAAAAAAAAAGAGAGAGAAAATGCCAAGGCACGAGCCAATGAAAGATAGGCTAAACTTATTGCTAAGTGCCAATGTGAGTGATGACCTCAAGATAAAGTCTCTCTTGGTTTATCACTCTGAGACCTCTACAGTCTGCAGAAAACAAAGTCATGAAGAATATAGGCTACGGGTCATGAGGAGGTCTAACACAAAAGCCTGGGTAAGAGGAGTACTTTTTCTTGAGAGGATCAGGGAAGTTTCCTCTCTTACTGTTAAGAAATATCTAGAGGACAAAGGCCTACCACTCAAGGCTCTCCTTATCATGGACAATGCTCCCTCTGACCCATGAGATTTGGAAGAATTGGCTGAAGAATTCCTATGGCTCTCAGTCAAGTTCTTCCTACCTAATACAACTCCTCTACTGCAGCCTATGGACCAGTAGGTTATAGCTAACTTTAATAAGCTACACACCGAGAATTGTTCCCAAAGTGCTTCCAGATAGTCTCAGATACAGAACTCTTTAAGAATTCTGGAAGGAACATTACAACATTCTTTCATGTGTGGGGTTCACTGAGAAATCCTGGGCCAATGCCTGTCTAAGGATACTGAGATCTGCCTGGAAGAAAGTGTGGCCTAAAATTATACAGGAGAGAGACTTGAAGGCTGTGTAGAGGAGCCTGAGCCTTCAATTGACCCTGTGGTTGAGGACAATGTCACTGTAGCAGAGTCCATAGGCTTGCAGGTAGACAGTGGTGATGTTGAAGAACTGTTGGAGGAACACTCAGAGGAACTGTCTACAGAGGAACTTCAGCAACTTCTGAATGAGCAACAGAGATTGGCAGCTGAGGAGCTTTCTGAAGAGGAAGACGAGTATCAACAATCAGTGCAACAAAATTCTTCTGAAATAAAGGAAATCCTGAAAAAATGGACAAAGCTACAAACATTCGTAGAGAAGACCCACCCAGGCAAAAGCCAATTGTTGCATTCACTTATTGACAATGTTATGTCATACTACAGAACAGTGTTAAAGAAAAGACAGAAACAGACAACCTTAGACCAGTTTTAGTTCTAAAAAGGCTGAGACACAGCAAGTCAGAAGCAGGTCTACAGACTCTGGCAAGGAGAGAAAGGACACCAAAGAGCCAGATTCCTGATATTCTTATGGAAGGAGACTCTTATTTCCAAACATTAAACATCTTCCATTTAAGCCTCCCTTCCTGCAAGCCAAAAATGTCAACTTTAATTCTGAGTACAGTATGAAATTATTGTTTCTGGTAAACTAGGCACATTTTATAACTTTTTGGTGAGTACACTAGGAAAATTATTGGTGTTTCTGGTAAATTACATACATTATACAACCCTTTTTTACTATAAAAAGGTTAGTTAAGGGGTGCCTTGGGAGTTTCAGAACACATTATGGGTATTTCTACTATTTCTTATGGGAAAAATAGTCTTGACTTAAACCAACTTGAGTTACAACCAGCCTTCATGAATTTAAGTTCGTAAGTCAAGGGTACACTGTATAACAGAACATATTATTTCTTTTCTATCATATTGGGTCAGCTTAATGGTCCAAGAGTCATAAAAAGTTTATTTGTGAAATACAACAAATGCCCTTCAAACTAATAAATGTAAAGATAGTGAAGTTAAAAGAAATACCCATGACCCAGAAGTTTAAGTGAAAAACTTTTTCAAGTCTTTCATCAATGAACACTATATGAAAATATTATCACATTTCATTCTATAATTAAGGCAATATGAGTTCTTTTTAAAAAATCTGGATATAGCATTTTTTTCCAATTGATGTATTCTATACTTTCCAAATTTTATTTTTAAAGGCATAGACTTTTCTTCGTACCTAAAACTATAGCTAAAGATTGAATTGCAATGACTAAAGAAAGGCAGCAACAGGTAAGCATGGTAGTACAAGTCTAAACCTTAGCACTATGGGAGGCTAAGGTGAGAAGATCACAAGTGTGAGACCAGGCTGGACAACTTACTAAGACCCTGTCTCAAAGATAAAAATAATAAAGGCTGGGCATGTAGCTCAGTACAAATGCTCTGGGGTCAATCCCCAATACCACAAAAAAAAGGGGGGGGGGGGTAAATGTGCCACAGCAACACAAGATCCAACCTACTTGTTTGACCTCTTCGTGCCTGCAATAAGGGTTCTGGAGGTGTCCACAGAACACCCTAGTGCTTCCACCATGGAACAGTACAAAAAGTACTGGGATTAATATCAGAAATCGTATTACAAATACAGAAGAAAAGACAAAATTAAAAAATCACTCTTACTGCAACCACCAAGGTTAACAACTGATTCAACAAGGGTTACCAATGACCACTAAAACCAAGGAATGACAGGTTTTGGGAAAACATGATAGACACAATATACCCATGTATCACTCCACCGATTTCTTCTAGGTATGAAGGAGATGCTGAGGTTCTTTTGCTAGGAAGAGCTGTGAGGATTATTACCACTTTAACCGAGAGCTGTAGTTTGGATGCTGACTATCCCTCAAAGCCTGTGGTCAAAGGCCTGGTCCCCCAGGGTGGCACTCTTGGGAAGTCATGTCATCCTTAGGAGGGGCAAGTTATTGTGGGACTCAAGGCCCTTTCTCTCTTCCTTTTGCTTCCTGGCTAGGAGGTGAACACCTCTATACCACAGCACGGTCCTACCATGATGTGCTGTCTTGACAGAGGCCTAAAGCAATGGGGCCAATCGCTCAAACTGGAACATCTAAACCCATGAGCTAAAATAAATCTTTCTAAGTTAATTATCTCAAGAATTTTGTTGTATTAATAGAAAGCTAACCAAATGATCAAACAACTGATAGCATTAATACTGGACCCCTGACATATCCCTTCATATGACACAAGAAGTATCCATCTCTTATGATGTTCTTGCTAAAAATGTTTGATTCTCCATGAGAAAAAAAAAAAAAATCAGACATTTACAAAATATGGGAACCAAGCCTGGACTGGACTCTTCATAAAACAAAAATTAATGTGGTAAAAAACGAACAAAAGGGCCAGGGATTTAGCTCAGTGGCGTCACCGCCTGCCTCGCAAGCACAAGGTCCTGAGTTTGATCCCTGGTACGGCCAAAAAAAAAAGGGGGTGGTGGTGGTAAGGGAATTGCTCTGGATTTAGAGAAGAAACATACCAATCTAAATGTAATGGATGAATTTTAACTGAATCTTCAGTCAAAAGTAAAACAGGGGCCCAGGGATTTAGCTCAGTGGTTCCAGTGCCTGCGTTGCAAGCACAAGGTCCCGAGTTCAATTCCCAGTACCTAAAAACAAAAAAAAAAACAACAAAAAAAGTAAAATAGGTGTAAAAGAAAATTTTTTTAAACTAGAGAAATGTGAATATGGACTATGTACTATCTCAGATGATCTTATTCTTAAAGAATATATACTGAGAGATTGTGTTATGTCCAAAACTATAAATGATTTGGCAAAAAAAAAAAGGTATCCATGTGTAAATATATACAGTAGAACTATTAAGAGAAAGGAGACTGGGTTCAATCTAACTGGTGACTCTAGATAAAAAGTATATAGGCAATTTTTTTTTTTAACTTTGTGTGAGTATTTTCAAAATAACAGAAGTGGAGAGTGTTATGGTTTGAGTTTGGCCCGGGGGTGTTAGAAGTTTGGTTCTCAGTGTGGTGATGTCAAGAATGGGGTCTGACAAGGGAGTCCTTGTGTTACTGGGAGCCAGACTTCTAAGTTCTAAGGGACTCTTATGCTCCTGCCAGACTGAATGAAGAGTGACACCACCCCCCCAAAAAAAGAGAGTGAGCCCAACTGCCCAACTGTTCTCTGGCTTCCTGTTTTGCTCTGTGATCTCTTCCTCTTGCCCTCACTGCATCATGATGTGATCTGCCATGATGTGCTGCAGCCAAGAGGGCCCTCACCAGAGCTAAGTCGAAGTCTTTGAACCTCCAGAACTGTGAGCTAAATACATTGCTTTTTAAAATAAAGTTAGCCTACCTCAGATTTCTCATTGTAATAACAGAAAATAACAAATAAAGAAGGGAAAGATCATTAAGTTTCCTTCAACACCCAGGGAAGGGTAGTAGTACTATACAGAATAAAAGTCACCCTGTAGTGAAATGCTCAAAAGTAAACCGAATATACACATAACTTTGACTATTAACTCCAACCTGTCATTTTCAAACAGCATTTTCTTTCTGGAAACAGATCTTTACCAAATCTGGAAAAGATGATATGAACGGCTCCTTAAACTCATTTCAACTATGTACATCAATGGAAAAATAAAAAAGTTATTTCAGGTAAGTATGTCATTCTCCATGTAATAGATCAAAAGGACAGAAGAAGTAAGTCCAAATCTAATACAGAACACTTAAATTGTTCATCTTACCTCCTAAAGCCTAGAATTAGGCTTTTTCTCAAAGAATTAAATGACAAAGGCAATGTATTTGACTTCACTGCAAAAGAAAAAAAAAAATCACCAAGTAAATTTCAGACCAAACAATCAAAAACCCCTGAATTAACTTATTTAATAACATTTTTGATACCTTTCTACTTTCAGTTGAAAAATCTTATTTAAAAAATGAAAATGTTTTCATAGAAAATTAATTAGATAATGTGGTAATATAGTAGTACCTTGGGTCGTGAATGCTTTTGTTTACAAATAATTTGGTTCACAAAGAGAAGTATTTGGCAAAATATTTTGTTTGCAAACTGTATCAGGTGGCAAACACAACTGTGGCCATGTTTCCCACAAAAACACAAACATGGCCATCTTTTCCAAAACCGTAGAACAAATTTAAGTTTGTGGATCACGGAAGGTACCACTGTACATATTTGTAATATACACCATCCTTTTAAGCATTTTTCTTCATGTTCGTGATGTAACTTATATAAATGGTAATGGTTAACATGTCAGTATACTTGAATCACGCTGCTACACAAGTGAGGCCAGGAATTACTGGACACTTTAATACTACAGAGAGAGACTTGTAATGACTCGTCCTTTAAAGACAGGTGGTGAGAACATACTTTTATTGTAAGAGTACTGTTGCGTTCTGCTGAACTATTTATACTTTCTCGTCCCATTTTCCACCATGATCAGTGACCTGATAAAAGTCATAATAAAATAAGTCTTTATAACCAATTTGTATTAATATTTTACTTCTCTGAGTATTTGTTTTCTATACTACTCATTTTGTTATTTAACAGTTAACAACCTTGCATGTTTCTATACTGATATTTGCCTCAGTGTAAGACTCAGGCATTACACTATTTTCTAGATTTGTAGACAGAATCTCACTCTGTAACCCAGTCTGGTCTTGAATTCACCATCCTCCTGCTTCAGTCTCCCAAGTGCTGAGACTAACTACGGCAAACACCATCACACCTGGCCTTTATATTGCTTCTTCATATAACCTTTGCCATGACTAGAAGGCACAGATCACCAAAGGTACTTCCTCAATTTATTTTTCTCTGCAATTTTACTATAAAGGCATCATGTTGTAAGAAACTAATTTAATCTTTTCATTCTAAACGTAAAGTAGCTTCTGAATGATACAAGATGAGTAGAATGAGAGAGGAATTCACAATTGAAGCAAATTCTGAATACTATTTAAGTGAAACAATATGCATAATTTAATTTTTTTTTAATGGGCGGGAAGAATCACAATCATGTGTAAAATTTTTTCAACTCATTTAAGTATAAATAAAAAATTAACCCACACTGAAGAATTGTTTTAGATCAACTTTTATATCACTTGAACAGGAGCTTAAGCTTATCAGTGATTTTATAGTACTAAAAAACCTAAAAAATAATTTTTAAAATGATTTGCACTTAGTAATTCAAGGACTTTTAAAGTGGACACAACCACATGCCTCTTACCACCTTTAATTTTGCTTGATCAAATTAACTTTCATGCCTACAGATACATATGGGAGGATGTGTCCTAGAACTTCACACAAACCCGAGCAAGAAAATCCGTCCTTGTGATGCGGTAACCAACAGTGCATACCTAAGAGCTGCTCAAAGCAAGTAGCAGCAATCACAGAACTGTTCTTCAAAGACCCATAAATCCAAGTTGGAAGGAAAGGTATTGACAGGAGGAAGTGCTAATATTCTTTAGTCTGTCTGTCCCTGGCATTTTCCTTTTTCAAATTTATTAAACAACTTCTTAAAAATGTACTTTTATACTGTTCAAAATAATATTTCACAGAATATTGTCAAGTTATTTTTTCCTTCAAAAGGTAGCCAGAAACATTATCAGCAAGCTGGAAGGCTGTTAACAAAAAAAGCATCTAGTTTCCTTAGCAACAAACAAGTTGAAAAAAATCAAGAGGTTGACAATAAAGTGGAGTAGATGGCATGATAAAAGGAAAAGGCAGCTCTTGTGTAGGCACCATAAGAGGCCAGACTCCTGCACTAATGCTTCTTTTTTCATCTTGTCAGTATGGAAAATCTATGTATTATACAGAGTGGAGGGCAAAATCAACACACTCAGAATGCAGCCAGCATTACCACACAAACTTTCACTCATAACCATATCTCTAACAGTCACCAATTTTCATGCTGGACGTTGTGCCTTTTCCTTACAATATTAACTTTTTTTTTTTTGGTGCCAGGGATTGAACTCAGGTCCTTCGCTTGCAAGGTAAGTGGTGGAACCACAAAGCCAAATCCCAGGCCCCACAATATTAACTATTTTTAATTAATGAACTATTTTCAATGACATGTACACAGGTAAAAATAATCTTGGTTTTACAAAGCTTCTATCTATAAAATTTGGCTATGCATTTATTAGAGGTTAACTTTTAACATTTTAGGGAGATAAAAATTGGTATGTTTGTGGATTTTGGTTTCAAATGATGTATTTTTCACAAGAGACAAAAACTTAGCAATTAACATCATGGTCATGTCAAAAAATGAAGACTTGGGGCCAGGGATTTAGTTCAGTGGTTATGAAACTTGCCTCACAAGTACCATGTCATGAGTTCAGTCCTTGATACCGAAAAAAAAAACCAAAAACTTTAAGGAACATTTTACTTGTTAAAAATAAAATGTGCGGGCCGGGGATTTAGCTCAGTGGTTCCAGCGCCTGCCTCACAAGTGCAAGCTCCCGGGTTCAATCCCCAGTACCA